AGATCGAGGCAACTCATTGGTATAATCGCTCTAATCACTGAGTAGGCCACGCATGTGTGAATTGCTTCTAAGTTAATAACTATTCATTTCTTTCGCGAGTATATCCACCTTCTCTTCACTACCGCGACTTATTTTATTCGCCTAAAAGACACCTACAAGGTCGTGATTTTATATAATCTTTTATTCATAAGCTTGAGTGAATTCTCCCACGTTCATTCATATATCCTCTTGGTGGGGAGGATCGTTGATCCTGTGGAGGGACTGTCCTGCCCTTGTAATGACACATGTGCGGCAGCAATAAGTAATCAATCAGGACAAAACCAACTCAACTGCCGAACCCAGCCGGCAGGAATCGATCTAGTTGACCTGCCCTTGCTACTTAAATTAACTGGGTAGCTCGTTCAAGCTACCGATACGGATGGTTGGTCGACATTTGTGAGTTTTGGATTGCTCACCAAAACAGGTTTGGATTCTCACTGAAGTTTTGGAGAACTTAGCCGGCTCCCCATTCTCAAGGCGTTCACCGTCAATATTGATCAGAGTTTTGAATGACTGGTCAAACTTGCCAGCCTTGGGGTTATTGATTTTTTTTTCGTTCGCTGCCTCAGGCGGTCATGGAAAACTCTAGTCGATATTGGTAGTAGACGCTTTAAGAATGGTGAGCTGGCCAAGCTCTCCGAAACTTTAGCAATAATTCAAACACGTTCCAGTGAGAAACTTCACCTTCTCAGGTTTTCTTCGCAGAACCCTTATCCTTGCGAATCTTAGGAAGAGTTCGTCTTTCTCCTCCCCAGTTTATCGTACTAAACAACCAAATAAAGAACCGTATATTTTTAAAGTGGCATGGTTGCTATGAGTGACCTTTGGAGAAGTAGGTGGATCTTGGGTATTCAGCAACGGCAAAATGGCTGGAAGAATTACTGGTCTCAAAGACCAAAGCTGTTTTCTTCGAACATGTACGCTCAAGGAATTGAAGCTGGGCGGGAATTATAACAAATCATCCACTCACCGGGCTTGAATGCCACGACCACAAGCTACACTGCATGCCTGCCATGGCAACCAATCGGACCATCCGCCAGGGATTTGGATTTTCAGCTCAGCCGGAGCGGAGATAGCTTCTCCCTGACTAGAAGAGGCCACGCAGTGGTAGATTCCCTCTTCCTTTTCAGTAACGCCAACAATTCTAAAGGTAAGTCCAGATTAGACATAGTAATTGTCATTTTAATTCTAATTCGAAGGCGTTATGCTAAGGAACAGGGCATACCTGAAATGATTTCAAATGTTAAAACAAATTGCCTGACTTTCCGCACTAGAAAATTTATAAGAAATCGCGAAATCTTTGGCAAATTCAGATAATGTATGCCCTACTGAAGTTCTCGCACAAACCAAATTCCAGGTTTTGAAAAGCACATTTATCAAAAAACTCGGCCGTCTTACCGGAGCGATCCGTTTCTAATCAATGAATGTGATCCTCCGAGTCGCACGGAACTGTTATCGTGGAACCAGCGGATTGTAGGAATCGGATGGCCCTCTGCCTGACACTCCATTGTCACAATCTCACCGAGTCTGGCCGTTTGGTTCTGTGGTGACTTGACCAGCACGGGTTTGCCTATTAAGTGAAGATGCATAATTAGAAAGCACGACCTGCTACTAAAATAGGGTTAAAAGACTAACACTAATAGAATTTCTTTAACGTACTATCAATGATAAGGCGAAGTTCACCGAGGTCCTCTCCAACTGGGTTAGCTGCTATACATTGATATAGACCGGTATCAATGGCCTAGAGGAAAGATCGATAAAAATTCTTGTCAGTATAAGGGACAAGAACAATTAGAAGTCCATACACTCTTCCAGAGAGAAAATGCGAAGGAAATGAAGCGAGACTGCGGGACTCACCTTAGCCATACTGATGACCAGACTGGCTCCATTGTCCCGAATGTTCACGCGACTGCTGTTGGCCACGGGGATGCCGTCTTTGAGCCAGACGATGGAGTCCGCCTCACCGCTGACATTGCAATGCAGGCGAGTTCGGTCGTCTTGTCGCCAAGGCTCATCAGACTGATACATATGCACCTTTGGTCGAGCTACCGCAAAATAAATTGTGTTAAGTGCATAGTTGATACGTCATCTTAGAAGAAACGCTTACCCTCATCTTATTTTTCTGAACTGCTTCGCTTCTATCAGAAACATTTACCGTCAAATGCTTTACTATTGGTTCATTATACTTTCTACCTGTATCATTATTGTAGAAGCTTCCCGAAAATATCATTCTATTAGTAAGTCCTTGCCAAGTCATCTTTTTTGGCAATAGAAACCATCCCGGAAGAAGTAAGCTGATTTGCCTTAGAAGCCGACTCTGCAAACTACTCGCCCAGTTCAGGCTACAATCTTGTCAAGATGTAGAAGTGAACCTTTGTGTCAAGTGCCTTCCCTATAAGTGACTTAGTAGTATTTTCTTGATTTTTCAGAGGCTCGTGATGGCTGGCTTTCAATAAGTGATTTTTCCGGTTATCCAAGCAGTTTGCATGGTTATCTTGTCTGTTTCTGGGCCTATGAAGCCTCGATTGTGAACCAAATCAACCGTACTATGTTACCGTGGTTCCTAGGATGGCGTCTCTGGGTAGTCCTCAGGGACTTACCAGCCCACTTGCCTTTTATTTACTTCAATGACATGATTCACTGAGACTCATTTTAATGGTATAAAACTATTTATACCCATGCGGATGTGAGATTTTAATGTTTGTCACATGTTTCCCCTCTTAAAAAAGGCCAGATTATCATTGCGGTGATCTTTATGACCTATTTCGTGTTCGCAGAAACAGGGTCTGAATGTGACAGGGTGACGGCGGCTTCACCTTAAGTCAGTTGGTGCACCTAGCCAAATCCAAGAGCGGCTTGACCTGAGCATGGGATTGAATAATATAAGAAGCGGGAAGTCAGGTCGATCCAGCTCATGTTCGGTGCTTATTGTTCTCACAATTAAAACACGAACGTTCGACTTGAAAATCCTACCTCACTACCAATCGGAGGTTGCCAGTCGACCGGGCTAACTCATCTGTATACGTAATAAAAGAGATCTTGTAGCTCTGTGCGGTTCCTATTCCGTTTTTGATTGGCTGGCGTCAAGAGTTACAGGTCAGATTGCAACGCCGCCAGCGCCTTCTACGCGCGTGGGTCCGTACCACGCTCACTTTGTAGGCACGCGCGTGCTCACATCGAATTTAATTCCGCCATCTTCAACATGGCCCTAGTTTACTTCGAGGACATCTTGGCTGGCATGCGCAGTGAGCAACTTCATACATACGGATTCCCCCTGCTTGACAGGAGCGTTGGAAGTCAGCTCCCCACTGAACTACAGCTAGAGCTTTGTTACAATCTTACCGAGCTGGCAGCATACGTTTCTCTGAACAAACTAAGGCTATTGGTCGACCAACTGCACGCATTCAACACTATTCTTGACAGTGTC